GGTAGGAAGCGACCTGCCCAGAGATCCGATGTTGTGACACCCAGAAGTCTCGACCCATTCCCCAGGTCCGGTTTTTCATCCTGAATCGCTTTTTGTCGGTCCTGGGGCCTGGCGAGGGCCCCGAGAGGCTCAAAACTGAGAAAAACCTCCGTCTTGATTCTTTCAATGCGTTGGATCTCTGGGTGATGTCTTCCCGCTGTGCGAGCTCAGCGGTGCCCGAAGGGAGTGCCGGGGAGAGAGCAGCGGGGCTCGCGCGACCAACCCGAGAGTTGGAGGAGCCTCCTCCTCCTCCTCCTCTTCTCCTCCCCCTCCTCTTCCCACTCCTCCTCCTCCTCCTCCTCCTCCATCCATACTCCTCCTCCCCCTCCCCTCCTCCTCCTCCCTCCTCCTCCTCCTCCTCCTCCTGCAGCCTGGCGCGAGGGAGGGTGGGGGGGACAGAAAGAGAATACGTGCTTAGATTGCCCTCTGGGCCAAAGCGCGCGTTATGCCCCCACCCTCCCTCCCCTCCCTCCCTCCCCCTCCCCATAAAGTACCCCCCCTAGTCCCTAGTTCGTTCCCGGCACTGCCGCAGCACGTCCGGCACCACAGTCAGAGGTATTGGACACACATGTTAAGCCGGCGGCGGCGCAGAGGAGCCTTAGGCGCGGTCGGCAGTTGGAGGTGCCAATTGCGAACGAAGTCGAACGCGCCATGATGAAAGAATCCAGCCACGGCCACGCAGATTCGTAGTGGAAAAAGAAAGACACACACACGCATATGGGGCGTCCCAAAAAAGGCCTTGCCTTCGAGGATAGAAGGAGTTGTCATCTCTTCCGCGGCGGAAGGGCGGCGGACGGTCGGCGGAAGTCAAAGAGGCCGCCTCCGCCGGCGGAAGCCGGCGGGAGCTCGGCGGAAGGCGGCGGAAGTGAAAGATGTGCCCCCAAGATATGAAAACGTTCTGGGGTTCAGGGTTTCCGAAATCGCCCATAGGGTGGGGGGGGAGGGGCCTTACGTTATTCCCCCCTAAAACAGGGCTAGGATCGGGATAAATCGTTCCAGAGCGTTCCGGAGCGCTCTCAGAGCGTTCCGGAACGCTCTGGAGCGGCCGCGGCGCCCAATACATCCTCCAAACCCGCCGATTCTCAGAGATTTCGAGTTATCCCGTCCCGATTTTATCCGATCCGAGTTACCCCCCCCCCGCCCGCCACCCCCCGACGCCCGCTCTCGCCGCGAATGTAAGGAGCGGCCTCGACGAGGGTGAGCGGGGAGGGGCGCGGAGGAAGGCGCCGCCTCGCGCGGGGGCACCGCAGCGGCCGCTCGCAGCGGCCGCTCTCACTACTACGTGCTGATCCCTTGTGTTTGCTACTGCATTTTGTAGTGCCACTTGAGCGCAACATCCCTGCCGCTGATGTTCGCCCCGCCGTCACGGCCTGGCGTGAAGTCGGGCGTGTCCCTCTACAGGAGGAGTGCTCTCAAATAGTCCAAGAGTAGTCAGGGGGAGTATTCTTTGACTTAAAAAACAAGTGTTTGTCCAACATAGGCCTGTAGGGAGACGGACCCGACTTCGACTTGGTGGGCAAGCGCGCGCGCCGTGCCCGCCAGGCGGGAGCGCACGTGCCGTGCGCAGGGTGCACGGCGTCCAGGCGCGCGTCCAGGCGCGGAAAAGCAGCGGTGGCGAGGGAGACGCCTGGCACACGCATGCAACTGGTGGAGCTCCGCGCGGGTATCCTGGATCGGCGCCCAGCTCAGGTTCGGATGAAATCTGCGTGGGCCTCCCGAAGTTTGTCCCTCGATGTCCCACCGACGGCCCTTTTTCGATGGGCGTGCGGGTCAAAACGCGCTCCTCCCAAGCGGGATGCTGACTCTGAGGGAGAGTGTGCGTGTCGCTTGGGCGAGAGCGGTATGTCGCCTTCTCACTCGCGATGCATGTTGCTCCCCACCGTCGCTCGATGGGGTACATTGGCGGCAGAACGCCCACGCTCAGAATAACAACGCCGATTCCGTGTTTACTTCAAAGGTGTGTACTGCAAGCGTCCGCTTCGGCCACCGTGCTAGGGCGAATGCGCGATGAATGAGAAGTGGCGGGGCCGTGCAAGGATGAGTAAGAGGAAGACGTGGCTCAGTTCATGCGATTCGACCGATGCGGCTCGGCACCGAGTCAGCCTGGCTCGATCCGATACGGCGTCGATATTCTGGCGATCCGACACCCGATGCCTGCCCGCCCCAGATGTGCATCCTGGCGCGGCCGGTCCGGTCCGACTTCGATCCTGCGCCGATGCAGTTCGGAACGAATTCCGATCCGATCCGAGCCGACTTGCTCGAGGGAGGAGGAGGCGAAGGACCAGTGTAGACCCAAGACGCATCAGCGATGTTGCAATAATGTGCCCTCCCTCCAGGTTTCCTTTTGCATCGGTCTGTGACAGGATGTATACTCCAGATTTCGTAATAAAAGGGAGGGGGTCTGGACCCTCCAAGACAAGCCATTTCAGACCCCCCCCGTGGGAGAACCCTCCAAAACATCGTCCCCAGCCCCCCCCAGGCCCTCCAAGATAGCCTGGAAGAGACCCCCCCCGAAATGAGACCCCCCTCCCTTTATTACGAAATCTGGAGTACTCAGAGCGGGAAGTGACACATCAGGAGACGTCCGTCTGAGCACCCCGAATCGTGTCCAAACGCTGGTCGCGGGACTGCAACGCCGCGGATCAACGTGACTCGTGCGTCCTGGCAGTCCTAAGCCGTGCCAGAACACGGTTCCTCGGGCTTCAGCACCGCGAACCAATGCGAGTGCTGCGTCCCCCAACAACCCTGAATCTTGCCAGGCCGCCCTTCCTGGGACTGCAACCACACGCATCCTTGACACCTTGCTAGGGGACCACATGCGAGCCCTACCCCTACCCCCGACGATTTCTGAGGGGGAGGGTGGGGTTCACTTCCTTCGGGAGCTCTCGAGCGAAGTGAACCCCACCATCCCCCTCAGAAATCGTCGGGGGTAGGGGTACGGTTCGCATGTGGCCCCCTACTTGTTCTGCGATCTTGGAAAACAGATGTGCGCAGAGCTGAGGCGATAGCCACCTTTTGAAGAGGAGCCTCCTTCCAAGCTTGAAGGTGCTTCGAACTTTCCGGACATGTCTGCGTGGCACTAGGGCGAGGGCCACATGTTGAAACGGATTTGTCCCCCATGGCTCAAACCGTTGGAAGCTGTAAAGGCGACTACGTGCGGCGCTAGGGCGAGAGCCACACTGTTTTTCTGGCATCTTAGAAACCAGACGTGCGCAGAGCTGAGGCGATAGCCACCTTTTGAAAAGGAGCCTCCTTCCAAACTGGAAGGCGCTTCGAACTCTCAGGACAGATCTGCGTGGCAGTAGGACGAGAGCCACATTTTGAAACGGACCTGTCCCCCATGGTTCAAACAGTTGGAAACATTGCAAAGACGAATGTGTGCGGCGCGAGGGCAAGAGCCACACTTTGTATAAGAACAGCCCTCCATGCTTGAACTTGCTGCGACGTTTCAAGAGTAACCCGCGCGGGTCCAGCGCGAGATCCGTAGTTTGAAAAGGAACCGCCCTCCATCCTTGAAGCTGTTGCAAACTTTGAAGACGATTGTTCGCGGTGGTCAGGCGAAAACCATATGTTGAGAAGTACTTGCCCTCTATCTTTCAAGCGCTTGCGAACTGCACAGACGAATGCGCGAGGCGCCAGACAGAGAGCGACAATTTGAAAAGGAACCGCCCGCCGTCCTTGCAGCTGCGAAGAACTGTGAAAAAAGAATCTGCACGGCGCCAAGGCGAGAGCCACTGCCCTCCGTCCGTGAAGCCGTTGCACCATTTTCAGACGAATGTGCGCGGCGCTGAGGGAGGAGGAGGAGGAGGAGGAGGAGGAGGAGGAGGAGGAGGAGGAGGGTATGAGGAGAGGCAGGCTAGGATAGTCAGGAGGAGGGAGGAGGAGGAGGAGGAGCAGGAGGAGGAGGAGGAGGAGGAGGAGCAGGAGGAGGAGGAGGAGGAGAGGGATGAGGAGGAGGAGGGGGAGGAGGAGGAGGAGGAGGAGGAGGAGGAGGAGGAGGAGGAGGAGGAGGAGGAGCGCGATGAACTGCAGGCTGAAGAGAAGAGTAGCGCGAGGGGGTAGCGGCCTCCCTCGGACCGAGCACGGGCCCGCTCCGGCCCCGCGGCGCGTGGCGGGTGCCATGGCCTCTGGCTTCGCAGGGCGCCACCCCTGCTACGGCGCCGTCGCGGGCGGCTGGACAGGCTGCTGGCTTCGCCATGCAGCAGTCGGGTTCGGATTGAAAAACGGGTCCTGAGCTCTGTGGCCGATCTCGGGGCACGGGGTCCCGCCCCCGCCGGGCCCCGTGGCTAATCATCAGAGGGCGACTCGGGAGGAAGAGCTGGTCCCGGGGGAGGGGGCCCGGGCTGCAGTCCCCGTGTCCTTCAGGGCCCGTTCCCGGCATGCCACATGCTGCCGCACGGCTGGCCGCCCCCGTTTCCTTGCAGTGGGCCTCCCTTGGACGGGGGCCGCATCACAGACCCGACTCCTCACCAGGGAGAGGGCGAGGGCCTCCATCTTCTCCGTCGTGGGCCCGTCGGCCCGAAGGGTGTCTGGCGTCTCTTGCAGGCCTGGCTGCCGGGCGTCTGTTCTGAAAATGTTGGGGTTTGCTGGGGGATGCGCTCGTGCGGGATTTGGTGTGTAATCACTAGGTCTCGTGGGGGCGTCTTTGTTGTCCCCACTTGGACACTGCTTCACTGGGCCTCCGGGATAGGTGGGTGGCCCTCCAGCACGTGGGGAACCACTGGGATGTGGCGTGCGTGCCCGAGCCGAAGAAGAGAGCTGCATGAGCATAGACCTTCTGAGGTCTGCGCGGATTTCCCGAAGCCTGCGCGTGTGCTGCCTGTTCTTCCCATCCCCATCTTCGAGAGGGCGCCGCGGCCGTCACTTTCCAGGCTGGCGCCCGCCAGGTTTGGGCCCGAGGTCGCTGTCACGAAACAGCGTTTTGCCAAAGGGGGTTCTTGTCCATCCCCGAGCAGTCTCGGGACCTCGCAAAGAGCAAACTACCATGAAGAGGCGGGGGGGGAGTTCGGTCCCTTGGCGCATCAAACCGCAGGACAAAAGCAATGCAGAACGAGGTCTCCGGCCGCCGCCGGAACCCGAGAGGTGTCGACCGTCGGGGCGCGCGGGGGGCATCGTCCTTCGGAAAGTCGACGCGCCGGCGGAGCCAGCCCCCCCCCCCCCCCTAAGGGTCCCCCCCCCCTTTTGGTGGACCCCGACAGTCCCAAACCCACCTGGCGTCCACCTCCCCCCACCCCCATGGCAGCGAGGGATGAGAGCGCCAGGGAGGGGCCAGGGGGGGGGGGGGGGGGGGGATGGGGGGGGGGGGGGGCGCCTCTTGGCGACCCTGCCGGGTCTCCAGAGAGGCAGGCTCAACCTCCTCGTCCCTCCTCCTCTCCTCCTCCTTCCTCCCCCTCTCCTCCCCCTCCTCCTCCCCTCCCTCCTCCTCCTCCTCCTCCTCCTCCTCCTCCTCCTCCCTCCTCCTCCTCCCCTCCCCCTCCTCCTCCTCCTCCTCCACCTCCTCCGCCTCCTCCTCCTCCTCCTCCCTCCTCCGCCTTCCTCCTCCTCCTCCTCTTGCCACCTCCCACCCTCCTCCTCCTCCTCCTCCTCCTCCTCCCTCCACCCTCCTCCTCCTCCTCCCTCTCCTCCTCCTCCTCCTCCTCCTCCTCCCCTCCTCCTCCTCCTCCCTCCTCCTCGCCTCCTCCTCCTCCTCCTCCTCCGCCTCCCTTCCTCCTCCCCCTTGCTCCTCTTCACCTCCCGCCCATCCTCCTCCTTCCTCCTCCTCTCCTCCTCCGCCTCCTCCTCCTTTCCCTTCTCCTCCGCCTCCTCCTCCTCCTCCCTCTCCTTCTCCTACTCCTCCTCCATCTCCTCCTCCTTCTTCCCCTCGTGCAGGGGCAGCGAGGTGGGGGACTGGCTCAGGGTCAAGGGAGGACCCCCCGACCCCGATGATTGGCGCTTGCTCAATGGGCCTTGGAGTTCACCAAACAGCCCTGCCCTGTCCGATCCCTTCCTTGGGGTGCTTTTACGGTTTACGGAACAGCGTTCGTTCGTCGTGGTGCTTCTTGTGAGGGTGGATTTTCTCTTCCAGGCATGCGACGTCCTGATTTTTTCACTGCGGGGGTCCTGGAGACTGTTTGTTTAGGATCTGGCGATGACCCGGGTCATCGGGCTCGCCCCCTCCCCCCGCCCCAAGGATAATAACCTAACTTATCTGGTTGTGCAGGTCCGGGGGGGGGCGCAGGGAGCTTGCTGGGAGCGCTGTGTTCAACGGCACGGCGGTGTTCGCTACAGCATGCTGGTGTTTGGATGCACGTTGGCGAAACGTTGGGGCATGGAGTGGCACGGGAAGGACGACGACGACGACAGGACCGACGACATACGACAGACGACAGACGACAGACGACGATAGACACCGACAGACGATGATAGATGACGATCGACGGCGACGAAAGACGACGACGACACCGACGACCGACGACGACCGACGTCGTCCGTAGGCATCTGGACGTGCACGTGAGCATCGCGTACACAGGCATTGCGATGTACACAGGCAGCGAGGCGATTTGGTGCGCGCACTTGCTGCAGTTGCAGCAAGGTCTGTTGTTTACGCAGGCGTTGTAGTGCACGCAAGCATAGGTGCACGCAGGTCGCTCGGTGCACGCGGGCATCGTGATGCCGGCAATATGGTGAAGACAGGCCATGTGGTATGCACAGCTGTTGCTGCAACGTCAGTTATCACGCACGCAGGCATCCCAGGCATGGTGGTGTACAGAAGCGCTGTGGTGCATTGTCATTGCGGTGTGACACACCTTATGGTGAACACAGGCGCTGCGGTGTACACGTCCACTGTTGTGCACACATTCGCTATGGTGTACACAGGCGCTGTGGGCCCAAACTTTGATACGTTCGGATTCTCCACGATTTTCTGGAGTTCGGTCCTGTCGGGGGCCCTGGACGTTTACGCAGCTTGGTGGTGTACACAAGCATTTGAGTGCACCAGAGCTGTGGTGCACGAGTATGGTGCTGAAGTAGCAACCGTGGTGCACATAGGCGTCGTCGTGTTCACAGGCAGTGTGTGTGTGGTGTACGCAGGGGCTGTGGTGCATACGGGTGCTGTGGTGTTCACAGGCGTTGTGGTGTACACAGGATTTGTTGTGTAGAAGGGCGCTGCGTTGTACACGAGTTGCTCTTTTGTGCAAAGGGTGCCGATCTCAGGGACCCCTTCCGCTTCTGAGGGCACATCCCCAAGAGTGTCACCTCCTGGGCCCTGCCGATCCTAGAGCGTAGGCATTCCT